GACCTTGGAGTAATATCTTCGACACTACGTGAACTTCTAATAAAATGATTGGATAGGATTACTACTAATAGCATAATTTGTATATAATAATACGATGCATTCGGTAACAAAAGAAACACCATTCTTCGCAAATTACGGATTTAATCCTACTATTATCGGAGAACTAATAGGGAAATAACCACTCGCAGAGTTATCAAGACTACTGGCGAACGGGTTAAAGTAACTTCACCTTTAACTTTCGCGAGATATCGAGTTTCTGAATATACGCATGAAATTCTATTACGACTAATCGCGCTAGGAGGCGCCGGACTTTTAAAGGGGGAGAAAGTTTACCTTTTGCGACGTAACATTCGCACCAGACGATCTAGCGCGAAACTCGACCACCTTAAATTAGGACCATTTGAAATTGCAGAAAAAACAGGACCGCTTAATTATCGTCTAAAGCTACCTGATAGCATGCGACGTATTCATACAACGTTTCATATCTCATTATTGGAAAAAGCACCTAAGAACGCCGAAGTCGCTACCAATGTGGAAATAGAAGAAGAAACGGAAAATGAGTACGAGGTCGAACGAATCCTGGGAATGAACAAGATCAGCGGAAAGCCTTACTACCTAGTGAAATGGAAGGGATACGATACCTCGGAAAACACATGGGAACCTATCGAGAACCTGACGGGCTGCCACCAGCTGGTTCGGCAGTACTACTAACGCCAGCCACGGAGAAGTTCAGGTCGCCCCAGAACGACGGCGATATCGGATTCATCTCCAATATCTGGGTCAGAGTAGGATTCTCTGACGTGGCGGCAAGAGCGCGAGCATCCTCGGCATCAGCAAGACGATCCAGCTCCGCAAGATCCTTAGCACTAAGAGGATCCTCCTCATCTAACTGAGCCATTATATCTGAGTCATGATTTAACATCCGACCACTTCGATCTTTTAAGAATTGTTGCTACTTCTACAAGCGAAGGACCTTCGCCATCGTTTCGTTCATTTTCATCGAATATTCCAGCCACTGCTTCTGAGCCTTCTCGAGGTCAGCAGCTACCTTCTTCTCATCGCGCAGCACGGCATCCCACTCGGCGTTACTGTGAAGCTTTCGTTCGCATTTACGACCGCGACGAGTACACTCGGCACAGTTCCGGTTCTTGGATGCCATCACACAATCAACGTAATGAGAAGAACAATAATTGTACGGGAAGTCGACGATGGAACCGTGTTGGAGAATGGAATTATATTGACGTAACCTATTTTGTTTGCGAGTTTTATTATCAATAGGCATGTTGCAAGGGGGACATAGCCGGTGGAAAAATCAGAAAAAGAAGAAAAATATGTACTTACCTAAGGGGGGAGACTAACGTTTAAATCCTTTGAGGATAAAGGATAAGGAAGGAGGGGATGATGTTACGGACCTTAAGAGGCGCGGGGGCCGTAGTTATTTGAGGACAACGGAGGACTAATCATCCTACGGGCGCTAGGGATTAGCGTTGTCACGTGCGTTTCGGTATACTTGGGTAAGCCCCGGCAGGGCCCCAAGGCAGACACTCTGGGCAGAAGCCAGAAACGGCCTACGGCTAACCGTCACAATCAATACCTGCTTACTTCATTTGACGGTTAGCGCGACGCAGGAAACGGCCGCCATTTTACCAACACCCAGACTACACCCCAAGTGCAAGAACCCGGTAAACCTACACGTGACGCTAAGGATATACTCCTAAGGAGTCGAGGAGGAGTAGATCTACCCCCGGGGTAGATCTACCACGAATATACTCCCTAGGAGTAGGAAGGGCTAGATATATAAGGATACTTATTTGGCACTATATATTTAGTTCTTCGCGATCAATCATTTAAGTTACTAGGATAGTACCTTTTATATATTGTTACTTGGTTACTACCTTTAGTACTTTGCACTTCACAGTTCACCTTCAAGACAACCTAACCTATAAGTAGGGGATTCACTCAGTGGTAACACTTAGTGATTGACTTACTTAGCGCGCACTTCTGGCACGTTCTGCAAGATACTCAACAGGATCCATCCCGCAGTAAGGCCTCGCGAGGCAACGGTACGATTGAGAGATACTCTTGGAATCCGAAGTCAGGATTCAGGCAAGTATAACCCGTTAAGCAACCTAACTTCACAGTGACCAGTCGGCTACGCGTAATACTGGTTTAGATCGAATACCTCTATGGTTAATAGGCACTGCGAAGATGCCTCGTGCTCTACGAAAACTTAATATCCTAGTACTTGGATGTGTCTGGCGATGGAACAAGAACGTATGGATGCGCGGTAATGTTATGTAAGAATGGTTCCGCTCGTTTTATAGGTATATTGGCACACAAAGACGAGTCGTGCTATTGCTCGATAACTTTAGCGCGTATCTCTCTGCGCTTGAATATACGCCACCGCCGTCTAATATTAAAGTCGTTTTTTTGCCACTAAACGCGACCTCGGTTTACTAGCTATTAGACTAGGGTATCATCAGAAACCTTAAGCACTATTATCGGAAGAAATGGTTGATATGGATAGTTAATATGATAGACCGCGGCGTCGATCCTACGTAGAGAATAAGCCTCTATTACACACTACATTGGATTACCTAGGCTTGGAGACGTGACGTCCTAGATGAGACTATTTAGAAGTGCTTTATCAAGAGTACGCTTATTAGTCCTAGCACTAATGAGATGAATACGTCTCCGTCTGAGGACCTTTAACTAGGTGATTTATACGTAGAGGTGACCGACCGGCTTCCTGGTATAGAGGTTATGGTATTAGATGAATTTCTAGACCCTCTAGGAGAAAACATCGACGTGTAAGAGCCTGATTTATCTGATATTATCGTTTATTTTTCAGAAGAAAATATAGGTAGGGATAATGGGGTTCAGGATAGCGAGGACGACTAGGACGAATATATATTCGGACCACCGCTAGATATCCTCTCGCGTGTTGAAGCTATTGAATATATGTATAAAGCTCTTTAATTTGCCTAGCACTAAGAGGGAATTACTGAGAGAGATCTACGTGATATAGAGAGGATCGCTTATCTTTTTTCTCGATTCGAGATTAATGGGAGGAAGCAGAGAAGGGTGGATGACTACTTTAGACTAAAAACAGACTAGTTCTTACTAGATGAGGTTTAGCGCGATATTAGTGGCACACTTTCATTAGGCACATCGGAATTCTGTTGCACGGAGGCCCGTGCCGAAAACGGGAGTTTACTGTAATACTATTGATTATCTTTGGAAAGTTTTTGAAATCGAATTGTATTCAAGTCTGACCAAGTATATTAAATGACTATTAATGTTAGATTTATCCAGAATGTTAAGTGAGTAGTGATATATATGTGGTTATGGATACTTTTGAGACTTAGTCGGCTTTGCTGCGGAAATATATAGTTACACTTCTGAGGGAGTTGTTCTGTATTCTGAATAAACTGACATTTGAACATCGATTTCTGCTAATTTACCCCTAAAGATAATTCATTCTAGATATATTATAGAGTTCGCTAAAATGTAGTTTTTGATGATTTCTAATTGAAAATGACTCTATAAAAAATAGAAGTAAAGAATAAGTTTTAATTAAAAAAGCATATAGTTATTTTGCGGTTAGTTTACGGTCTTTGCGGTTACTTAGCGGTTATCCATTAGTTAACTAGGAGATAACCGCACGAATAGATAGTAGGATCCAATTAGCTTATAGGATCAACTAGCAAACTATAATTACTTTTGATATCTATTGATTCCCCCCGGTCGTAACTCATCCCTTCTCATCCCAAAGTGAATCCCTAGTAAGTTTTCCTTTTCCTCTCTACTAGACCCCTACTCCTTAGGCCTTTCCTTATTATAGCTTATTCCTAAGTGTCTGGTTTTACCGATCAGTTTTCTGAGGCTAACTTTCTACAGTCAGACGATCTACCTACCCTTAGTAATACCTGCCGAACAGCCACTTCGGTTGCCTAACAGCTAGTACCATCCTCGTTAAAACGCGTTAGCCCTCGGTTTCACCAGGTCTAGATACTTTACGATACAGATCCTGAGATAGAGTAATCCCGTTTATAATTTACGGAATGGTGGCTACAGACCGAGTTTGGAATAAAGGAGGATACTAGAGCTTCGATCGGCTAGGATAATAAAAAAAGATTAAATGTTTAGGATGAATTTGACTAAGTTGCAAACGAAAAGACTAGCGAGCTAAAGATCATATATAAGCGCTGCTATACTACCCTGACTTATCCCTAGTTACGCCGCGGGGGAATAAGCCTAATGAATACGCATCTTAAAAGTACTACTTATAAGCCTAGGCTGCAAAGACGAGGAATTAATTAGCTACTACTCTAATCGGTTAGTTTAAATATTATCCTAATTATCTACCACTATTTACTAACTCTCTTCTTATTTAGCCCTAGAATCGATCGCCACAGTCCTTCTCTAAAGATCTTCTTATCTATTATCTTCTCTAGCTTATCACTATTACCCGACTCCTATTCTGTATACTTAAGCGTCCTGAGTTACAATAACTTTATGATATTATTTAACTAGCTCCTTCTAAGATTAAACTACCCTCTGCTCGGTCTATTCGTCGTCGGCTAGACCTAGAGATTTAATAAGGATAACAGAGTATGCTCGATAATTTACCGTAGGGAAGTAGACTCTTAATTGTATTAGACTACTAGATATCACCCTTTTCCTAAGTATTTATAGTAATCACTGGCTATTTCGTCGATAATAACTGGGAGTATCGTGAGGTCCTTCTTGGATTTGAGCCACTTTATGGTTTATATACTAGAAGCAATTTAAGTTCCGTCGTTATTAATATTCTTAAGGAGTACTAGATCACCGATCGGATATTATCTATCACGACGGATAATATAACGAACAATAATACTATAATTAATAGTATCTAAGAAGAGATTAAGGTATAAGGAATTGGTAATATAGGGATCTTTCGGATTCTATGTCTCGCCTATATAATTTAGCTGAGTCTTAATTAATTACTAGGTAAAATGAAGGTAGTACCTATTAATAATGAGACTGAGATTGAGTGGTTAGATAAGCGTATATACTTAATATATCCTAAGCGTATAAATAGAGAGATAGTTGATACTCTAAACAAGGTAACTCTTCCTTTATCTCTTTTACTATAAGATCACTAATCTCTCACTCTGTCTAGATTCGGAACCTTACTATCTTTATTAATGTAAGCCTATAGCGCCGCGAAGCCTTTTTAGGCCTTCAGACCGAAGAGCCTTATCTACTCCCTATTCAGGATATCCGTATATAATGGAATTCTACCTTTCTAATGCTCGGCCGTGTAAAGCGACTATAGGAGACCTTTAGACGATACTATTAAACCTATAGATACCCCTAATTCTAACTTAATAAAGAGGAGTGGCGCTAGGTCGACTACCTTCTTTATATTACCTAGCCGTTCTTTAAATTCACTACTACTCTTTCAAAGTTAAAGGATATCACTATTCATCTTATCTTTAGTATCTATAATAATCTCTTTAGTCACCTTAAGGCCTCAGAAGAGTAGATTCGCCGGAAGAGGATTCCCTAGAAGTAAACTATGCTTTAAGCACTTTAAGCAGCAAGGGAAAAGCTCTTAGAGTACTATAAGATGACTAACCATGAGTACTACGGTGATATTTACGTAATTACAATAATCCTGGTACCTTCGAAGAAGCTTCGCTTCTTTAAAACTAAGGATTGGTAAGGTGATATTAACTACGCTAGACGATATCGTGGTCGATTAGAAGAGGAATTCTGGCGTTATAAGAGACGGCTTTTAGATAATAATAGCCACCTATTACCTAGGGCTTTAGCTATTTCACTTAATACTGTGGATGAGATTAAGATACTTTGTGACTCCTAGAATACTCTCTAACCGGAAGAGCCCTAAGGGAATAATAATGACGAGCTTGATCGCTATCTTGCTAAAGGTGAGCCCCTACCTATCCACAAAGAAACTTCGAGTAATTAAACTAATAAGCTAGGACTGATATCTTAACATCCTCGTATGTTCTGGAAGGAATATCAATAAGAGTTTCTAATACTTGTAGCCCTTACACGGGATATCTTATCTATTCCTGCTAGTGGTGCTAGTATAGAGCGTCTGTTTAATTACGCGCGTGATATCTATTATTATCGACGTGGGCAATTAAAATCGGAGACAGTCAAAGCGCTGATGCTTTATATGTGCGTAACAAAATTCGAGGTTGAACAGAAGGAGATTGATTTTACTAAAGAGCTTATTTCGGTTGGAGAGTCGGCTCTTCTTGAATAGGAGAGAGGCTCACTACCACCTCTCCCTTCTCTAGATCCTATTAGTGATAGCGAGGAGGCCGAAGATGAAGATATAGTGACTGAGATCCCCTCTTAGCTGCTACAGCCTTAGGCTCTGAGTGAAGATACTGGAACTAAAAGGCCTCGAAGTAGAAGTACTCAATCCCAGGAGAATGAAGTCATACCTGAATCGGCTGATCTAGAGAATACATAACGACCTAGCCGCGTACGGAAGAAGACTAGGATGCCAGAAGGATTTGAAATTGGAACCCTATGAGTGTATAATAAATCAAAGAAGTGCACTATTATGTTAAATGAATCATTTACAAAAGAAAGGTTGATTTTGGTAAGATACTCTATACTGACTAGATACTAGAAAAATACCACAAAGACTGCATAAAAATCATCTGACCAAAAGGTTACGAGGCTTGGCCTGTTTGCTATATTTATCTAACCATTGGTTAACCAAAACCGCATTGCGGTCTTGAATTGAAGACCGCAACTAAACCGCAAAAATTTGCGGTCTTGATCCGAAGACCAAAACCAAATGGTTTTGGATATGGTTGCGGTTAACCATGGTCTTTGCGGTTAGTGCCGCAGTCTAATTCTAGTAGTTAACTGAACTATATTCCGACGTAGACCTCAGAACAAGTCGTGATTTTCTAGTTCCGGTCCAGGTTGAGAATCGCCAAGACCGGGTTCGGTTCCAACTCTTTTGAGGCCACGATCCGGTTCCAACTTCTGTAGTAAGTTGTCGGAACTCTTACCGGACCTGGAGGTCCGGTTTGAACCTGCAGGTTTCTCAAACAGTGCAAACTTGGGGAAGCTCGTGGTATGCATTGATTGTGCAGTTTTGCTCTGTATTTTTGAGTATTCATCTTACGTCAATTAAGAATAGCATCGATAGAATCCAGATCAATAGTAATAACTAGTTTACAATGAGTGTTTAATGAGGGGACGAATTACTTTTGTTGGTAACGCGATAACCAACATATACCCAGCAAGACCAAGATACGCCCCTGAATGTGTTGAGTTTCAGCAGTCTTCAATGCCACTAAGGCTTTGATAGCTATCTGGCTATCCCTGAAATGCACTAAACCCTATATGGTAACGTGGACAGTTTTTGAGGAGTAAGTGTATACTCATCAATGCACGTTTCCCCGACCGTCCGCCGGGCACCGTGAAGGGCCAAGGAAGGGGTTATGCAAATGCGGCCTAAATGTTCGTACAGATACGAGACCCGCGAAAGAGCACAAATCCAACTTTTATCACTCTGCAGACTCATTACAACTGGGGGATACTGTAATAACCTCCTTCAATTAACCAGCTACTTTTTCGGATATGGCCAGGTCCAACTCCGAATATATTCGGGATCGACACCGCTGTTGTAAGTTTCCATCTTCGCTGCAAGCTGGATATTGATCAGCTTTTCTCGGACATGAGATGTCGTGTTCCTTGGAAAGTCGATTAAATCGATCGTATCGATAGCCAGGCTGTATCTATCCGTCCGGTTGCGCATGGCTAAGGCGAAAGGAGTGTCAATGTTACCTTTCTCTCTATAACCCCGGACATGCAAGTTATTCTGCCCAGGCCGTTTGTATGTTAGACGGTGAATGAGCCAAGGGTATGAGTGGAAGTTGAAGATAATAGGTTTGTCTTCAGTGAAGATTGCCTTCCACTGTTGGTCGGATATGCCATGAGGGTGGTTTGTCTCTGAAATCAACCGGAAGAGATCCATTACGTTAACGAAGCGAATTTTTAGATCCGAGAGGTGTTCGCGCAGAATAGCTGTGGCGGCCAAAGCTTCATGTGTCGGTACATCACCACAACATGCAATTACCACGTGGGGATCCTGGCCCTGGTAGTTGCTGGCCCAGTCCCAGATTCCTAGGCCCTTTGTGCAGTGCACAATGGCCTTGTCCATCCCAAGATATTGGAGATGATCCTGTTTGTCAGCGACGATGACATTGACATAGTTGACACTGCGGAGGCAATGGTCCGTAACTGAAAGGAGGGTGTTCCCATCTGGTGGTAGGTAGATTCTCACCACTTCCGGGCTCTTGTTGGCCACAACATCTAGAAATCCAGGGTCCTGGTGAGTAAAGCCATTATGGTCTTGTCTCCAGACAGTGGCGGTGATCAATATATTGAGAGACGCGACCTTTGCACGCCATTCTACCTCAAGACACCTTTCAATCCACTTGCAGTGCTGGTTTACCATGGAATCGATGACGTGGACGAAAGCTTCGTAAGTATTGAGCAGCCCGTGTCTTCCGGAGAGAATGTATCCTTCCAACCACCCTTCACAAGTGTGCTCACTGAGCATCTCCATCACACGGCCTTCAGTGGCTAAGTTTCCTCCGTCTTTGTCCGCTTCAAAGTACTCCCCCCATCCAGACCTTCTTACCTGCCTTATAAATTTCTGATAGCTTATTGGACTCGGTTTCATCAGGACCAAAGACCCGGAAACTAGTCATGTTCTTGGAAATAGTATCCCGAAGAAATTTCGACATGTTCACCATGTTTCCTCGGATGGAAACACCCTGATCGATGTCACGCAAGGCATAACCTCGGAAATCCGGCAAATTCAGTGGTCTGCGAAGAAGACCGCCGTTGCCAGTTGGATTAGCACTCATCCGCGATGTTCCCCTTGGGGGAAGCGCCTTCAATTGAGGAGCCAGCTTTCCATCTTTGTCAAAGAGCTCTTCCGGCTTGTAGCTCTTCATCCATGTCTCCAGCAGCTTCAAGTGTTTTGGATTTGTAGCGACATCGGTAATTGGGATCTGATGTGCGCGCCAGAAACCCTCCAAGAGCCTGCCGTCGACCTTCCTTGGAGCGGTCCACCCCTTAGGAGTACGGAGAACTATCATCGGCCAGCGTGGTCGGAACGCCCCTATGAATTTCCGAGCTTCCTCCTGGTACTTCTTGATGTCCAGGACACATTTTTCAAGTGTAGCGGCCATGGCCTGGTGCATGCTGTCCAAATCGCTTCCTTCTATGAAAAATGGTGTCCATCCGTAACCAACGAGCAATGATGACAATTCATCGTGGCTAATCCGTGCAAGAATTGTCGGGTTTTTGATCTTGTATCCGTTGAGATGGAGAACAGGAAGGACCGCTCCATCGGTACATGGGTTAAGGAATTTGGTGCTGTGCCAGCTAGTCGCAAGGGGGCCCGTCTCCGCCTCACCATCACCCACCACTGTCAGGGTTATGAGGTTGGGATGGTCGAAGACTGTCCCGAAAGCGTGCGAGATAGAATATCCCAATTCACCACCCTCATGAATACTCCCGGGAGTCTCAGGGGTCGCATGGCTGCCAATACCGCCTGGAAATGAGAACTGCCTAAAGAACCTTTGCATCCCCTGTATATCTTCACTTTTATCGGGATAGACCTCAGAGTAGACACCCTCAAGATACGACTGCGATAGGATTGCGGGAGCATCGTGTCCAGGACCGGATACGAAAAGTACATCGAGGTCGTACTTTTTAATCAGACGATTCATATGAATCCACGTAAAGGATTGCCCGGCATCCGATCCCCAGTGGCCTAGGAGCCGAGCTTTAACATGTTCCAGTTTGAGAGGCTCCTTGAGTAATGGATTGTCACGAAGGTAGAGCATGCCCAGGCATAGGTACATACTGGCCTGGAAGTATGCGTTCATCTTCACAACATCTTCAGGGTCAAGAGGCTCTCCGCTTACTGTCGAACGAGCATGTCCATAGGCGGAGATGCTATTGTTGCCACCTTCATTTCCAGTCGATGCCATTATTTGTAGTCTCAGTGGCTATAATTTTTTTCCAGAGGAGGGCCTGCTAAATGAGTCTGTTGTTTGTCGTATAAAGAGCTTTGATGATCATAGAATAGGTGTCAATCGCGAAGGCACGGTTTCTTCGATCCAAATTGAGAGACCTGATTTAAAAAGAATTTCGTGCTATCAATACCAATTCCCTTGAGTGAAGGGGTGAAGGGTGCGAATAATACATAGTAGCAGTGAGCAAATGATCTATATTATGATTCTCACCCTCCGAGAAGAGACGATGATATTTTCGAACCGTGGTTTACTACAGTTGCCCCAGCCGAATGCAGATGGTCTACGCATCATCTGCCACGACGGCACCGAGGTGAAAAAGAAGAGTACCAGCCATAAACCCCCACTCTTGCCAAATCATAAATCTCTGAAACTGAGACAGCGTGGACTACACCAATTTCTTATTTATTCTTTTTTTGGCATATTAAATACCGGAGAGGGGTAGAGGTGTGTGGCATTTTCACTTTATACCCCTCCTCTCTATAGGTAGTTTCTACCCAGGATGGAAATTGCCCAGGACTTTGGTGTTCCTCGGGGTATGAATTACAATTCACCTACGTTTTTGATGTGGTCGTACTCTTCCATCTGGCTCCTATAGTCCGTCGTAGTCGTCCAAATTTAGTGTTTTACTTCCTTTACGCCGGGACACCGGATCAAAGCATGGGCCCGGAAAACAGACTTCGCACCGGAGAAGACTGAGCTCATCCACATCACCAGGAAAAGAAAGAACAGTGCCAAGGTCAGCTTGTCATGGGCGACAAGACCATCACATCGTCAGCAACCGCCACGCTCTTGGTGTGATCTTCGACCACAAGCTACGGTGGAAAGAACAAGTACAGGAGGCAGTACAAAAAGGAACCCGATTCGTTACTGCCATATTTCTTGATGGTTGAGCGCTGCTTGCTGGCCCTGCTAACTTGCCACGACGGGCCGGAATGGGCACGGATAGCAGATGGGAACGGGGCGAAGTGGCATCGAATTTTAGCGAGAAGGCAGGCGAGGAGCTCATATTGGGCATCTCGATCACCGATTCCCGCTCTCGACGCAGGGCATAGCAGGTTGGTGGGCCAGTTCCTCGCCCCCTGCCAATTCAAATATTGATTGATTTTGAGCGATCCAAGCGAACGAGACATGCCAAACCAGTCGTCTCTAAGCAGGTATATTATCAATCTTCAATCATTTTTCTCCGAGACCCTGCAATGCACACAATCAAAACTCTACCCGATAGATTCGCGAAGTCACAGTCCATGCGGATCGAGGTTGGATGAGATATCAACTGGAAAGAGGGGTGTATTTGCCCGTATTCAATCTGGTTAAAAATGGGCACGGGAGGTGTTGGCCCCGGGGGAGGGGGAAAAGAGCGTATCCCAAGGAGGACCCCGGACGATGGAAGAAATGACCGAGTTAACCGACGCAGCCGAGGATTGAATAAAATGGTCGATTCTTTCGGGATGGACCGGATTTCTGCTAATGGCACGCAGTCGACAAGAGGCAAATGGGAAATCTTCCCTGTTAAGAGATTCGGACCATGGACAAGAAGGAAATTGTTGCATCCACCTCGATAAGGGGTCTAGGTCCAGCGTGGTTTCTTACAGTACATCGGCTGGTAAGTGGACTGAGCTTCCAATACCACGGAACACCGTTAAAATATAGCCGCGACATGATGTCATTGTAATGTAATATTCAGCGTGCCGTTGCCCAATAAGGAGACTGCGTTGATAGAGGGAAGGCAAGGGGAAAAGGCAAAGGCGAGGGAAAGAATGGACAATGGCCATGCGCTAAGAAAGTGTCTAGCACACTCAACATACAAAATTGCCAGGGTAATCATCATAGCGAGGGTCCCTAAAAATGTAATTTTTGAAAGGGGCCGATTATATTCCATTGATAGAGCAAAGCAAAAGTAAATCTTTTTCATGTCTCATCTTATGAGGCGCACCCCTCAACTGGCCGCCATATATTTTGACCGTTGCAAAATATTCCATATCATCTCATAATACGAAATATTCAAGAGCCAAGGCGGTGATCCGATGAATTAACGCTTCTCATAACGATTCGCCATGTCTTTATTATGGCGTTTGACATATTTTGATTTGGATTTAGGGTCCCATTCGCCACCCTCGGTATTGGGCCCTTCACGGTGCATTTTGAGGCTGCAGTATTCATCATGTTCTTTAGCTCCGTCTGTTGCCCTAGGCTGTGAAAGTTCTAAAGTATCAGATATTTCGTCAGCAACAATAAAAAAATACAATTAGATAATATCCATGATGCATTAACCAATAAGTAGAGGTACTATTACCTTTGCTGTTTGAATAATCTTCGTTTGAATCGGCGTCCGGCGGCCTTTCGGTATCGTTCTCACGAGGTTCTGCCTTGTTCGCAAGATGCTTGGCTTGAATAAAGATAGCCATTCCTACAGGGTGGGCCATATTGTGTTGACAGCAAGAAAAGATCAAAAGGCTTGTTCGTGTGCATCGTGTAAGACTCATTTGATATAGGCTCTGCATTGTGACAAGCTGGACAACAGCATACTGCCGACATACGGATACATCAAATCCGGGTTCTTGAGGAACTTAGGGGGAACGGTTCGTGTAATGAAAATCAACTCTCGGTCTGAACAGGCTGGGGACGGAGAAGGTAGACACTGTTGTGATATGAGGCTGGTGCAGATCGCAGCAGTTTATGATATGTAGAACTGGCAGAATGAGCGAAATTCGACAGGAACTATAGCCGCAGTGGCCTCGAGAAACAATTCCTTCGGTCTTCTAGGAAAAAACGCTCCTGATAGAATGAGATCAAAAGTATGGCTGCCAGCACGGACCAGAACACTAGAATGAAGCCTGGGCCATAAGATACGGTCTCTTGAAATAGCCTGGCATCATATCTATTCGAGGCCCTTGTATTTTGATGGGCAAATTGTTCTTCTTCTTCCACGCCGGGTAAGGATTCATCGTGTGGGTGTGAAACGAAAACGAAAAGTTATATAAGTTTAGGCCCTCCGAGGTTCTGAGATTATGAATCCAGGCATCTGAAGTACAAATAGTTAGGCTTGCCTGGCTTTATTGAGTGAGTGAGTGTCTGCTTGCGTAAACCTAGGGCTGTTAGGTTCTGAGAAAGTTCCATCTACTTTGATCGAATCATCAATTATTCTAATAATCGTTGCAATAAAGAATGGTACAGCATCGCCCTCAGATAACCGCATCGGCAGTTTTTTTTAAATTTCATGGAAAGCCCATGCGGCATTGCGGGTAATGATCCTGAAGTCAACAGCCTGACGCCCTCGTTTCTGGAATTTTTGTCTGGAATTTTTGTCCCCATTTAAACTAGACTGTCTCTTTGCATCAAGGGCATCAATGACTTTTGACACAGTGGGCAGCTATTATGACCGGCCAGAAGCCGTCCTTCGAGGCACTGATCATGGAATACATGACGACATGGAAGGGGATGGATTAGCTGTAAGTTGGAGACCAACTCAAGGCAAATTGCACTGTTTGATCGCTTTGTTAGTGTAAAATGTCCTCTTTGGTGTGATATAGGATTTACCAGTTGAACAAGCCATCGAAGGCTCTTAAGCGATCCTGTTCCGTTTGCACGGACTTCCACCAGGCCATGAACGGCTTTTTAGGCGCTATCTGCTCGAATAGCCTTAGTCTGCGCGCAATAGGCTCATTGATGGGGACATGGTAGATAGTTTGTAAGCGAGCGCCCGAAACTAGAGTGGCCAGGTCGCAGCCGCAGTAAACAGCTCTGTTGCTATTGAGTTAATCTTTTGAAGCTTTATTGGAGTGAGTGAAACAATATACTTACAAAATGATTAAAAAAACGTATAAAAAGGTAAAGGCGCATATGATGGGCAAGAACCGAGTTACATCTTTCCTCGAATCGGGGTTTGATTCATTCATAATTGGTTTTCCAGTTTTCCTTGGCTCACTTTACGATTATCACCATTGAGCGATATTAGTTCTTCTTGGTAGTATATACTAGCTCACTTGGCGGTTCATGCGATATTATAATTAAATTCGGCGAAAGTTGCGGAACCAACAAATAGACCGCGTTCTAGCCAAGTGTGGTACCGCTGGTACAGGATGGATATTCAAGGATCAGCCCACATTATGACTAGGAACATGACGACAATATCAGCAAGAATTATGAGGCAATATAGACAAGCTTATTGGATATTTCACTTACAGTAGCCAGACAGTCGCATGTCGCTCGAACGTCAGGTGATACCAACTTTCATCGACTAATACGTACTTTGCAAAATATAATGCCGCTGTTCATATTTCTGAATCAATATGAGCTCAATAAACCCGAGCTGCTGCATAGCGCAGAAGGTAATCCGTGCAAGTTTTTTAACATTCCTACTAAAATTATATACCAGCAAGCAAGCCAAACACGTGAGGGAGCAGTTTCCGCTTAATGGGGGATCTGTTTAGGGATTCCCATCAACTTATAGACCGCAATCCCCCCCCCCAAAACACGTTATATTCCATGCTGAACGTAGTACCATTGAATTGACCAACAAGAGCCAGGTTTGTGATCGTGGGAGGGATCACTTCCGGGCGGTTTTGAGGAATTATTGGCAAAAATGGAGATGTTGCTAGGAGCAGCAAGGGACGGTAGTTATTGTAGATAGGTGCGACGATTATAGTTAAATAAAAGCCACTGAAAAGTAATTTTGGGTACAAGATCATCCTGCTCCCACCAGTTTGATATTCCATCATTTCATTCTGACTACACTTACTGACCTAAAATCACGGTAACATAGAAAGTGAGAGTTAAAATCAAACATCCAATATTCCCCGTACAGTACATGGCAGCGAAGAGTGAATACATCACGACACTTTTCCTCATACTACCATATGAAAGATCTCCAAAAGAACATTCTTGCTTATTTTCGGGGGCTCCTTGGGCCGGCCCATTAGTTGGGACACCGCCGTCTGCGCTCCTCGGATGCTGTACTCCACGCTGAAGGTGGTATCATCGGGAATTTCAACATACTGCCCGATGAAGGCGATATTCGTTGTGTCATGCGGGATCACACTTGGACGATCGTGAAGAACCCGTGTCAATAGCATTGAGGTTCCCAGGGGAACGAAACAGGGAATTGTCGTAGCCAATGCGACAAGTGGTTCAACGGGGAACTTCAGATGAGAAAGCAGCTCAACGAGAATCTCTACGCCGGAGCATTGTTCCATCGGCTTTTTAACATATGTCCCGATTTTTTCTGGACGTAGTCCGTATCCCCAAATCACGTCAACAATGTCTGGCTGCGTCGCGAAAACAGGCTGGTGAGGAATGCTAATGTTCAAACACCAGGGGCTTCCTACAATGGTGAGTAGGGAACCCGTACCCGGTTTGCCCTTAGTGAGCCGCGAGTAATACTTCATGAAGTCCGATTCCCGAAAAGTGACGGTGAAGGTCTCGATTTTCGTCTCATGCGTCCTCGTGATGAAATTAGAAGGATTACCAAATTTGGTCGACTGCTCGGCGAGTTTATTCCAAAGAGACCACTCCCCATCATTTACACTCTCCGTTGACACCTCCTGAGGAGGCTCTTTGTTAGACCCTATCTGCATCCCGGTAGAGATCGACCCTAACGTCACGATAACAATGTCAGAGGGATCTATCGTGATAAGTTCCTCTCTTCCGTTCTCAACCAACATAATCTCCGAGATAGTTGTTGGATCGCTAGAAGGATACGACTTGAGATCGGTGACCATTGCATGGAACCGGAAGTCAACTCCTTGGTCTTTTAAGAATTTAGTGATGGGGATTATCAAGGTCTCATAAAGGCTGAATCTTATTCTCTCCAGTTCAGGAACATCACTGCGAGTCTGCAACTTAGGCAAGTATTTGGCTAGAAGTCTGCGAAACTCGGTTGCACTATGCCATGGCTGGAGGAAAAAACTAAAGGCGAGTCAGTGCCAAGGAAAACAATTTGTGAAAAAGACCTAAGGTGCTCACGTAGTCGACCACAGCGCCCAGAATTCCGTCCCGAAGAAGGATTCGTCAAATACCTCATTGATCTTCTTTGAGTCGGACGCCCTTTCACGGTCCAGAAGAAATACAATGAGCTCCATCCGACACTTCGCCCCAATCTGCATCCGATGCACGTCAACTTCGGGCGACTGTTCTCCCTCGCCTGGCCTAAGTGCGCGAATTTTTTCTTTGTTGTCTGGTCCCCCAGATACCTCACAATCTTTGATGGTATCCAGGACAGTCTTTTCTGGATTGTCTGGGCTAGGAACCATCGCGAGGAGCTCCTCGACACACTCTTCATGGAAGTACGGCTGTGCGCCCGTGTGAAGGACATAGCCATCGCTTGGGTTACCGGAGATCTCTTCCATCGCTCCACCACAGCCCTTATGTATGTCGAGGATATGAACTTGAGGTGCCGGGACTTGGGCCTGCTTGATCAGATGTACCGCGGCTGTCATGGAAGCGATCCCGCTTCCAATAAGCCAAGCCTGTACATCTTTAGGATCTCGGCTACGGGCCATTATTTGTCTGTCGACGTTGTCGCGGATTCGCAACGTTGAGTTTCGTCGTTTGAAATTTCCTTTTTGCCCAAAGCGTGGGCGAGTGTCCAAAAGGCTTATATATAGGTAAGAAAACCAATCAATGGCGTCAGGCCGTCGACCGTCTGGCTAGCCGTATTAGATTTCACATGACAGCTGCCTGACCGAATCATTTAGAGGACTACCAAGTTTTAATCCTCTGGTTTTCAAGGTGAATGACGTAAGTCCTCGTTTTTAGAAATCCTTTGAATCCTCGGGTACCAATATCGTCGACCAACATCTTAATTGTCGTCTCAGATGACCTGGCTCTGAAAGTATGCGCACATCACATGCACCATCAGCCGCTTCATCACCCTTGTATCACCAATTCAACAGGTATGAGATCAGTCTGATGTCAACTGGGATTATAGTACAGGATTAAGACCAGGTGAACTAACTATTGTGGATGATCTAGAACCAGAAGGACTTTCCTCGGGTTCTTAACAGTGTCAAAAAGCCCCTAGTGAGATCGCATTGGGCGGCAGTCCTAGCCAGGCTGAACAACCAGGACAGAAAATTCCTGAACGTGCAGTGAAGCATGAAGAGAAGTTTTCTCGTTCCCGACTGAACTTGAAAGCAAAGCTCTCCGGGTTTAAGGTCTTTGAAAATGAGGGTCAAGTGTATCACGAAAACGAAGGTATTGGGTCGCTCAAATGTCTTGAAAATGGCCTAATTTAATTCTTGGTTACAAGCGAGTGCAGGTGGTCGATGCTCATGGGAAGATGCCTAAGGAACCGAGTCCTAGGGCTTAAGTAACTAGTTAACTAAATATTCCACCTCCCTGATTCCAATGGCTTTTTCTTCCTCCATACCAAACAAAAAACACCGTTGTTCTATATGTACTCGTTTCCTCCTCTTTCATCCGCGCACAGCTATTCCGTCCACTTGAATCATCGATCAAGGTCTCTTGTGTTTCACGTCTATATGGCCTTTACCGACATAGAACATGTTGATATGGCCGGGGTGCCGGAATGCATCGAGTAACATCTGAGCCTCTTCCTCTTGGCACTGGCGTGTGGCCATCACACGATACGTCTCGGGATGACCCACTTGCAGTGATGACAACACCCCGAATATCACGGGCGGTAGCCCGCCGATATGTGTCCCGCGGGAATTCCTGTCGCAGTATTAGCACTGAAGCATATTTTCGAGCTCACACAGGAACTGGGCGATAGCCAGGAATATTTAGAGACAATGTAGCAGTCATTTCTTAGGTTTCGGTGTCTCACAAGCAATATATCGATGATGACAGATGAATCGAGAGCCAGACCGCAAAAATATGAGACTGGGTGGAAAATACCCTTCTCTCCAACAGCCCACAATTTTATATGTAACTAGGGACAGTCCCAAATAGTGAGCCGTCTTCTCGGTACAAATGAGAAGCGTGTCTGGAAGAATACAATCCGTTTCATCAATTTTCAGCGAGATAATGAGCTTGAACTCCTTGAAACACCTTCACTTAACCTTTCTCGGAAATTATTTTTAATTGAGCACCATTATGTTTAAAACATCGCAGGAAGAATGCACACCAATTGACTTTCCATTTTGACGCCTTGTATAACATAAGAAGATTTTTATTACCTATTCCTACTTGATGCTTCCTAAATGATTGAACTTCCAAACTCTTATTCAATAAACATATACAGCTACAACAAGATATATTAAGGCGGAAACTAAACATATACATGATAAGGAGGTAATGCAAAGAGGATTCGGCCTCTATAGTCCTCCATCACTGAAAATGATCCTGGAAAAGATATGATTGCATTGATATGATCATGACGATTGCCATCTTGTTGCATGCTGCTCATCAATATTACAGAAGCCTAGAGCTATTTAGACGACAAACTAGAAGCAAACAGAACACTTCGCCTGGCCGTCCAAATTTAAGCGACGGGGCTCCACGGCATCGGGACAAGAATTCGGCTTTGCATGCTTTGGGTGAGGTGAGCAGTCTTGTAAACTGTCTCAGCCCAGCCATCACGGCTCCATGCATGCTCACGGCAGACCTTACGCTGCTCTAGATTAGCGAACTGCCAGAGTTGATGTACCGTGTTCAAGTCGCCAATCTGCACAAACCATGCACCCACGCCCTCAATAACCTCACGACGTGCCGAGAGACTGCGACGCCAGTGTAACTCCCATTCCAGGAGGTTTCCCGGATAAAGAGTGTATGAGCGAAGCTCAAACAGTCCACCGAGACGGCGAGGTGGGGTCGTATGCCAGAAAGAGAATTCTTGCATCAGGGATGTCTTCTCGCCTTTGATAAGGCTCCTGAGTTTGCGGTCGAACTCACGGAACCCTGCGTGTTCTGATATTTTGTGAAGGGAGGAGTGGTAACCTTCGTACCGCTGGTATTCCCAGATATGGACTGTTCAAGGAGGAAGTGATCAGCCCTCGTAATATATTTCTCCATTTGAGTAGTTGACTTAGAACTTACTAAACGTATCACTGTCGCCTACTTGCGTCCGCCAACTGCCCACCAAGTTGACGCAGTTCTCCTGAATCCTCGCCATGCGGGGGTACCACTGGCCCACCAGATCCGCATATTCATCGACCTTATCGGGCTTGACTTCGTGCATGACAAGGGAGTGGACGTACTTACCACGCGCCAGGACTTGTGAGAAGGAGCGCGCCAATTCCTTGTCAAATTCGTGGCATTTATCGGTGCCGTAGATGAGTGAGGATAGAGGACTGCGTTTGGAGACGGCTTCTTGATTCTGATCTACACCTAAAGGGGTGCATAACGAGTAAGCCCAGTCCCTTCTAGTAACCTTCTCGATGGAATAAAAGTAGATCGGGTTCAATCATGACGGTCACAACCGACGAGCGTACTGCTCACTCGCAGAACAATGGAAGTGCTCTCACTTCGGCGGGGGAGATTATTTAGAGGAAGAGGCGAAAGCATTGACAAACTGACTCTCTTGCTGTTGGTTTCTCAAACGAACAAGGTCCTCACGAAACTCCTTCTGTCGTCTGATGAACTCCTCGGTAGATTCCAATGTGATGTCTCTGATGGAGGGACAAAAATAGGAAACGGCTAACGAGCTAAATGATCTTAACGGTGAGGTGGCTGGACGGGCAGCGCGTGAAGCCAGCATGATCACGCTTGAAATCACAATAAGCCACAATGGGCAGCTTCCAGAGCCCGAATTGATCTAAAGGCTTCAACCAGAGACTCGGAAGACCCGGAAGCATAGATAACCGATTGTGGTGAAGGATCAAATGGCGGAGAGTATGTGCGGTGATACAGTGTAAGAAATGTTGCTGGATACAGTATAAGCAGAATGAAGAGGGTAGGGGAGCTAGGGAGCTATTATTAGTGGGGATTAGGTTTGAGAAGAAGAGACAATAATATGAGGGAGTTAAAGATGAAGTAGGCCATGATCTGGCGTGCTAGCACCAAGTAGATCGCCGGATAGTATCGCAATGTGCCAGTAATTACTAGCCACAGAATTTCCACCAGCAGTACCAGTCTTTCGCGCTGATCGAGCCTATGAAGAAGCTAGAATCTGTGCGGGAAAGAGCTTTTCCAAGGTCTGTGAATGGCTCTGGTTGGTACGACTTGTGTCAAATGACTTCCTCACTACCATGTGGGAAATTATGACGTGGCTGAAGTGTACACAATATCCGGCTCGCTACTGGCTCTACATACTACAAAAGAGCGATGGGCTTCGAGAATGATGCTCCTCGGATCCTTTGAGCGGGGGATCCTTTGGGCAGGAGACACAAGGTGCTACTTTATGCGGAAAACTCACAAGAATCGCTTGAAAAAGATATGCCGCTATTTATGACGAAAAGTGGAGATGTCTAGAATACCCATTATCGCGATCTATTACCAATCGCCAAGTCTAGAATGAGAGATAGCCATGGATCAGTATACACCCTCGGCATGCTTAAGAGCTAATAGTCAAATGTATGACGTCGATGCCGCAGATTTGACACCGAAAGCGATTGAGCAGTGATAAGAAATGAGAGACTGCCTCCAAGAATAGGCAGATCGTTCTTATTGCTTCATTTTTACGAAGAGTGTATTGTTGTGATTTGAGCCCGGTGCAGATCAGTAATGAAACCGCACTATCGGAATTACAGTACCTACCTAGGCTATCATGAGCCACTCGGCGGACCGGATGTCCAGCTGTACAAGCGGAACGTCAACAGTGCCCTGCAAAATGTTCCACTGACTTCGCAAATAATTGGCCTTGAATCCCGAGTCGAAGCCCGCCGCAAGTCGATTTTCGGCCTCCACCGCCATCATCTGCAGGTCCGAGACACCCTCAACAAATCCGACCAGGCAGCTCGGCCCATGTCCCCCTCCATGCCCGAGCAGGGAATTTTCAACAACCCCGAAAAGGGTTGCCTGCTCGGCCCAAGCCCCGAATGAGAAGCTCGCGTCTACTGGATTACTGGCGAGTGTGTACACAGTCACCTCCGCGGAGGCGAGCCCGGGGTTTCTTTGATAATCCAGCAGCAGTCCCTTCGACGCTAAGAAATGCCAAACGGCGAATGACCTCTATGCCGAGACATGGGGCTGCAATGCCACAGGAGTCCGGCCTTGTAGCGGAATAATATTTTATTGTTGTATCTTGCAGCAATGCATTCAAATATCTTAGCGATTTGTATTTTATTTGCATCATTCGTATCGCTGAAGGACCGGCACCTCAATGGCCGCCCCTCCATTCCAACTTCCTGACAATTCCCAGGTCGTTACACCCAGGTTGCGCCTAATCCCTTCCAATGAAGCTCTTGTTATTCATGCACAGATCGCATGATAGGCGAGATATCCTTTATAAACAAATTTGCCTGTGAAATATCTATCCAGACTCGTTAAAAAGCACCGTCCCGGTCCTATCCGTTCAAAGCGGTCAGCCAATAATGTCCCAGCCTGTTCAATGTGTTGTACCTACCTTCAAGTTGGAGCAATTCTTGTAGTTCGTGCAATTTACCATGTTGGAGCAATTTACCATGTTGGAGCAATTTACCATGTTGGAGCAATTTACCATGTTGGAGCAATTTACCATGTTGGAGCAATTTTGGCACTTGCTGCAGTTCGTCATGTTGGAAGACTGCTCGCATTCCTCGCAGTTGCTGCAGTTACTACAGAATGAACAGTTGATACAGTCCGTACTGTTGTGATATGAGGTTGCTGCAGATCAGGAATCAAGCCGAACCATCGGAATTAACTCCGTGGTGTCTATACAGAAGACCAAGTTGATTTCCAATCAACTTGGCTACACGTTGTATATATAGCCTCATCTTTCCCCAAAGAGTAAAAAAAAACAATTCATACCTCTGAACTACAACACGTACAATCGGAGCACTAAAGTTTGTAGTAAGCATTACTCAGAAAGCGTGACTTAATGATGTGAGGAGAAATGAACCTAGATGGCGTAAAAACATACATTATGGCATCCTGTGGAGCGACTTTCAGCATTGCCGGCTTTTGTTAAAACTTGTAGGCTCACCTTTGCAGTTATGACAGTTGCTGTTGTTCCTATTCCCATCGTCGCCTCTGGGGAAGACAATTCATTGGCAATTAGACCTATTGAGGAAGAACATCGCGGCCATTGGAGAACGCGGGGAGGGTCTCTTAGCTCACTCATTGCGCAATGAAGCGTAGTGATCATGCGTCATGATCGCAATGGTCTTGAGCATTGGTGAGCATGGGGAATTATATGCGCGTTACAAAATGAGATTCGGTCATCATGACGTAGACAAGAAAATAATATATGGCAAATCTCTTACGGGTTAGTGGACTTTTTTGCTAAGACATTCAGTGTCCCCATAGGGGGTGCATCTATCCCCCTCCAGCGATAATTCTCCGACCGCACTGCCTGCCTTCGCCACCGCCCCGCGTCCACCCTCGCACAGCTCACGGAGCTGTGTCACCTGTCGCCGCCATAAAGTCTGTTGCAACAAGCGCACGCCATGCGCCAATTGTACAAAAGCCGGTATCGACTGTATCTTTCCCCCACCAGGTAGGTTATAATTATGTGACGAACTGAAGAAGCGGTAGGATACCACTAGGACCATTCAGCATCGGCCTATTCATCGTTCACCCAATTTCCTCCTAGTATGATGTCATAACACGCCATAGTTCAAAAATAAAGACTCCTGAGATCGCACAACCGACCTTGACACCCTTGATCAATCATCTGATTCTATTGGACATGCTCAGTACTAGCCAGTACATCAATAGATTACCCATATCTCTTTGACGATGGAGAGGCGCTTTGTCTAGGGAAGCATCGGTTAGCACTTTGCAATAAGTCTTGTCTCAACCACTGAACTCAATGTTTCAATTGAGCACTAGTCAGCACTAGTCAACACTCCAAACTGGAGCCGAGATCCCCGTATGATTATCTCGCGGGATACGAGCACATCTTCGCGTCCAAAGTAGCCCCGAAAACAGTTTCCGGATCGGATATTTCCTCCGACAATGGCTTGACCGGGCTGGTAGAGTGCACTAGTACATCATATCCGGACAATAATAAATTTTGGAACCTCGTCTCTCGCTCAGAAATGAAACTGAGCGAAGCAGGTACTTTGCGGGTCTTGAAGAAACAAATAGCGACATCAAAAAGCAATGCAGATAGCACAGTTCTGCTCCGTAGCGATACTGTAGCAGAAAACAACCAGAAAAAAAAGAGCTGTCAAAATGGGCAGATCCGTCACTGCGTATAGGCACTCACATACATGCAACTCAGACCTCGATCTGGCGTGGAACCCTAACAAAAGAAAAAGGGAAAAAAAGACGACGATGACGTAAACATCATTTAACGTTTGATCGGCGAAACACACTGCCATAATCAGTGAATATATTTGAATGAGGTGGCCGCTGTTGTGCCACCTCGTAGCGATAAAGTACAGACCCATGTTGATGAATGTTGAAACACGTCGTCGGCGCTTTTCTGCGGACCGCCGGGAGTGTTGAAACGGTACCAACAGTGAGGAAGGGTTTTCAGATACTCAACCATCAAGAAAAAGCCGTGATGCCTCCGAATACTGCGTTAGATCACTGGTTAAATGTTGAACCAGGTGAAATCTGAGGGTCAGCGGTGTTGAGACCCTCGCAATTCGCAAGGATTGTTACATCGACTCGAGAGTACGGGTTGGATGCAATGCTATAGGTACCCGAACTCTCGCCAGCAGAACGGTAGTTCTCAAGCATTACCTTGTGATCCTGGAGCAAAGAATATCGAAGACTTTTCGACTTCGCCAGCTACTCTCCTCCAGTACGGACTGACCCACCCCGAACTTTCTTGTAGTTGTGATCGAACTGACCTGTTGTATCGCCCCTAGTCCGACTATGCTCGACACTGAGATCTATTAACGGTAGGTAAGTTTAGTTGCCCGATCATTTGAGACCATGCTAATGTGGAATATGTTTAATATCAGTTCCGTCTCGGCTATTCATCTCGGAATTCAATCAACGGACCTCGAATGGTCTCGATAGTAAACTCAGGTTGCGAAGACAGTGAGTTATGAAGGGCCTCATAAGCCACCTACTGATGGTTTATCATAGATCGAAACCATCTACTACCAAGCCGACTTGACCAGACTAGAATGGCGCACGCAGCAGTAGCTGGCAAAGTAAGCTTCGATCACTATGGCAGTTTCGAGAGTAGTTAGCCTGTGCTGACGACTCTCGGTCTAGGAAGCCGATTGTTTTACCATGAGCCAGCCCATGTCTGGTAAGTTACCCTAGTCATAGCCACTGACTATTCCCAAGGCCAGGTGTTGCATTTTGGGTCTCGGCACAGAGGCTATCTGTTTGTGGCTTTCTAATATTCGGAATATGCGCTGATATATCTTTCTCGTCGCAGTTAAAGTGTCAAAATCACAGCCCACACGGCCGAGCCGGATTCCCCATCGTCCTTGAAACTAAGCCAGGTGCACCAACCTGATGGACCATTGACTCCCAGTAAGCTTGCGCCTTCGTTGTTTCTAAGGACATGGTCGAAACGGCCACTTCGCCTGCTGTATTAGCAGGCCCAATTCAGGAAGGGTTGATACCCTCCGGTTAGGCATACGGTAACATTCCAAAATGTTTTCATCTCTCCGGCATTACCCTGTCCGATCAAAGGTTAACTGTCAGTGTATTAGGAACTTGCCGTATTCCAACGGCTATGAACCTCTTGTCCCAAGTCCGATCCGAGGCCTCGTCGGCAGCCATGACCCGGTCCCAGGCTAGACCGAGCGAGCCATCGCAGCCTCCGACGATAACGAAGAGAAGTCTAGCATCGACGACCGAGAGAGACCACGGTTTTTATAAAACAGAATCAGCCAATAATGCATCAAATTACCGACCTAGCTGAGGCCAGCTCTGTCAAGCCCTGATTGCAGCTGAGCAAGCGACAAGCTAAGCCGCAGCACTGGATCTACCAGGTCTCTCGCCGCGAGAGCAGTCGTTTTCAGGTCATTTCCTAGTTTACCCTGGGCCAAATACCATGAATCTCTCCTCCAGTGATAAATTGTCTTAACATGGTTGAAGCTTTGCCTGGCGTACCACCAGCAAAGACGAAACAGTTATTCATTGGCAGATATGGCCCACATCCATTCCCTGCGGCACGGAGTGATCCCGGGCCCTTTGACGTGTGATCGAGCTGACGCCTGCTACATCGTCTCTAGTTTGCCTATGCTGATGCCAGACTACATTGACGACAAGTCTGTACCACCCTCATTCACCGGAAGTCATGCTGATATGGAGAGGCAGTGAAACACAACACTGATAACGTCGCACTAACCGTCCCATCGTGTAAGCGGGTATTGTTCGTGACGGTTAGCCGCAGGCCGTTTCTTGCTCCCCTCCGTAATTCCTTCCTCAGGGCCTTCGTGATGGAACGCAGGTTTAGTAAGCCATGGTGCACCCAATAGGAAATCGCAATGAGTCTGAATTACTATGAAGCCCCTAGCTGGCAATTTGGATGGGCAATTACATGACTAATACTGGCGGGCCTATAGTATCTCCGTATACCGGTATCCACTAATCCTGCTGCTCCGTCACTTCGGGGCGTGCCTGAGTATACCGAAACGCACGTGAGGACGCTAGGCACTAGCGTCCGTGGAATGATTGGTTCCCGGCTGCCCCTCAAATAGCTGCGGCCCCCGCGCCTCTTTGAGGTCCGTAACACTCAAGTGGGCTGAAACGGCCTAAAAGTGGCCTGAAAGTAGCCTGAACGTGGCCTAATAGTGGCCTGACGGCTAAGGCTACCCGCGGCCGGCACCCCATCAAAATTAATTCATCAACCACAAATCCTTAAGAATTCAACCCTTCTAGTTAGAAATCTTGAAATCTAATTTGACAGAAAGATAGTTCAGATCCTTCTCATAAATAATCTAAAAGACCCGATCGAATTATTCCAAGATTTGACCTACTTAGGG